GACATTATGTGACACCCACCTCTGGACATTATGTGACACCCACCTCTGCACTCCCTTCTGTTGGGATCCCATCCCACCAGGATGCTTCTTTATCCCCATCCTTCTCTTCTTCACCCCATAGGTCGGCAGAGCAGTGATCTTCATGAGTTGAGGTTTGGATCTGTTGATAGGTTGCCCAGTTACTAGCCTGAAGGAGAACCCCTATCAACAGACCTACTCCATGCCTGCCTCATGGAGACCAAATGTGGTGGTGCCTGGAATGACAATCCCAGCTATCACTGTTCTGCTCATTTATCTTAGGTATTAAGCAGCAGGAAGCGTGTCTCTACTAGAAATGAGGCCAATTCAGGGAAGAGCTCCTACACATATTTCTGTAGGGTTCACACAAGAGAACTTCCTGGTAAATTATGCCCTTCGTGGCCATCGGTTCCTCTGGCCTCCCACTTTGTCACCATTCAAGGCATCCATAATATGCGTCACCTTGCCTTGAGACAAGGCCACTTCTTCTGGGTAATGCTAAAGGGCACAGGGGAACTTAAATATAAGCTGTAAAGCCCTTGAGGCCAATTTTAACAAATGCAAGGCCATGATTAGAGCATTGTCTCACTCCCTTCTTTTCTTCCTGACCTCCTAATTTTCCCCAATTTGGCACTCCCTCGGTATCCTACTTCAACTCCCATCATTCCCGGGTCAGAGGTAAGGGGTAACAAGTGTAGTAGAGGAGAGCTTTGCAAGTTGTCATGTTGGAGAACATTCTGCATAATCACATCATGGAAGAATGGGAGATGGAGTTTATTACAAAATCCAGCTTCTATGAAGGTGAAAAACTGTTTATATTCTGCCCTTCTGAAAAACTCAGAGTGTAGGCTGTCTTGCTCCCTGGTCTAAAAAGTTAGGAGACTCTTTACTGTTATCTGCACAGAGGTTTCACTAATAACAGTAGAGGATCCCCTAATTTCTTAGGCAAGGGAGCAAGATCAACAAAGTTTTTCATAGGGGCAGAATATTTGCATGCTAGATGCTTTGATTGGGGCAATGTTCACCCCCCCCCCTTTTCTAACCATAAAGACAATAGTGTGTGTCTCATCCGCGATGTCTATGCAACTCCCTCTTCCAAATGATGGAAGAACAGAGCTTGGAAGTCTGTCCCAACTTCCAAATGTCTTCTCGTTTTCTATGGTGACAGAGGAGAGAATGGGTAAACCGCTTGTCCTCCAGTCATTGATGGAGGAGAAGAATGCTTGGAAGTTGCATCTGCTTCTTCCTTGCGGTGTCTCCTCTAGCCCGAGTAGATCAACCCAATGGTAGGTGCATAAAGTACATTATAAGAATCCAGTTCCAAGCATGAAAACAGACTCAAGCAAGTGGTGGGAAAGCTGCCCAACATGGTAACCCAGCTTGAAAGGTCTACATCTTAAGTAGTGTAGGAAAACTCAAAAGAAACTACAATTTTTGGCGATACTATATGTTGAATTCTTTTATAATGTACAAGAATATTCCCCTCTCCGCTTGTAATATTATTCTGTGATACTTTTTCTGCTCCCAGTAGTGTCACAAAGATGTGTAGAGAAGAGCGGGAGAAATGTCCCATGGGGTGACCTTGCAGAATGGCTTAGCCATTTCCTCCATTTTACAAAGAAAAGAGGGGGATGGATGTTTCAGACTTGGTGGGCAAACCCAGAGCTGTTGCCAAGGAACTTAACGCCTTCCTTCTTCCTCTTCCAGGCCCAGGCAGCACATTTCCAGATGTCCATCCGAGCAATTGTTCCACCAAGAGGCATGCAAGTGAAGATGACTTGAGGAAGCGGCTGAAATCCCAGGGGTCACCAGTACTGTCGACCGGAGGTGCTTTGCGCGGCACTTCCTCTTCTGACTACATCCAAGAGCCAAAGTTCTATCAGTCCGGACATCCTGGGCAAAAGACATCGGTGTGCCTGGCAGAGAAAGCCTTGCCGTATAGCATGCTCAGCTTCCCAGAAGGTTCTTGCACTGTGTTAAGTCAAGAGCACAAGTCTAGTTCCTTGCACCAAACAGAGGCGTCCGAGAGGTACAAAAGCCTCCATACCCAGAGCAGCGTCAAGTCTGAAGACTTGCTGGCATCCAGTGTTCCTGCCTGCCCTGCTGACGTTCAAGACTTGGAGGAAACCACCACACAGGACCGAGCTGCCAAAACTTTCTCCAATGCCACCTTGGCCTCGGGGAGGTGTAACATCGATAGCATCATCTCCCTGTTGAAAAGCAAGTGTGGCAACGGCAGAATCAACCTCTACCCTGTGGTGCAGCTCATAGACATTATGAAGGACATTGACCGACTCTCCCAGGACTTGAAGAGCTGTGGCGTTCACTTAGACTGCAGTGGCTTGCAATTTGATAGCCATCTGCCACTTAGTGAGGAAGGCCGAGGACAAGGTCTTCATTATAGCTTCTACTCCTCCCCCATGCTGGCCAACAGCATCCGCAGTCCCGAGGAGCTGGCAGTGCAAAGCAGCACCAAAGTGGAGCTCCTCAAACAGACTCAACCTAGCCATTATGCGGGAGAAACGGAAGGGGACACTCGAGGTGCCCAGGACCAAATCAGCCAGAGTAGTCCTGTTCTGAAGGCCCCTAGTAGCCTTGACGAAGCTAGCAGCTCAGAGTCTGAGACGAATGATTATCCTGAACTAACCAATACAGATATCCTGAGCGAATTGGCTTCTCTGGCATGTCCTGGACCTCAGTTATTAGATCAGCATTCGGAATCCCACCATCAGCTGCTAGAAAGCCAAGAGGCTGAGTCAAGGTCACAGTTAATTGGCTCACAGTCTCTAGAACACCAACCCCAGCTAGTAGATTCTAAGTCTCTGGAGCCACCTCCAGAACCGTTGGCCCTGCAGACAGTGGATCCCTTGCCTGCACCACTGGGGCTGCAGCCTCTAGAACCTCTGGAGCTTCAGAATTTAGAGCCTCTTTCTGAGACACTATCTCTCCAATCCCTAGAACCCCTTTCTGAGCCTCTGGGGCTCCAGTCTTTAGGGACCCTGGACCACCAGTTGCTTGATTCCCAGTCCCAGCTCCTGGATGCAGAGGCCCAGCTGCTTTCCCCTTTGCCCAAGTTGCTAGACTCTCAGCCCCATCTGGGAAGACAGGAGTCTTCAGGAGAACACCCGCTACAACCTGGAGGCCGCCTTGGAGGCTGCTCCTTAAGAGGAGTAGTAAGGCGAGGGGCTGGGCGGGGAAGGGATGATCACAGGAAATATGCTCTACGGAGAACAGATAAACCAAAGATACTCTGTCGGCGGCGTCGGGGAGGCCGAGGGCAGCGAACAGAGATTGTCACTGACAGGCAAGTCCTCCCCATGGCTGTACCAATGGAGGTGGTCATGGCACGGCCAGAAGAAGCCAGGATGGCAGTGACCACCATTACAGCAAATGAAGTAGCAGATCCCATTGTTTCCCCTTTGGAGTCAGAAGATGGCCAGAAGGCTACTGCCCTCCTGAATCCCCCAAAGCCCAAATGCCGTGGCATCCGTCGGATGGTGGTCAAGATGGCCAAGATTCCCGTCTCTCTTGGGAGGAGGAACAAGACAACGTACAAAGTGTCCTCCCTCAACAGTAGCTTGAATGTAGAGGGCAAAGAGGTTGCCATCTCCCATTCTCTAGAGCCCACCCCACTGCTGAAGATGAAAAACAATGGCCGGAATGTGGTGGTGGTTTTTCCTCCAGGAGAAATGCCCATCATCCTGAAGCGCAAGAGGGGAAGGCCTCCCAAAAACCTGATGCTTGGGCCCTGCAAACCTAAGGAGCCTGCCCCAGAAGTGAAGAAACGGAGGCGGAGGAAACAGAAATTGGCTTCCCCACAGCCCTCTTATGTTGCAGACACCAATGACAGTAAAGCGGACTATTCAGATGTCCTGGCCAAGCTAGCCTTTCTCAACCGCCAGAGCCAGTGCTCCGCTCGTTGCTCCCCACCCCGCTGCTGGACCCCAACTGAGCCTGACTCCATCCACCAGGCTCCTGACACTCAGAGCATCTCCCACTTTTTGCACCGAGTACAAGGCTTCCGCAGACGAGGCGGCAAAGGAGGCGGGTTTGGGCGTGGAGGGAGCCACTCCGCCCGTTCCTCCCGTTGCTCCTTCAGCGATTTCTTCGAAGGCATTGGCAAAAAGAAGAAGGGGGTTCTGGGGACGGCCATGCATGTCGACCCAACTCATCCCCGGAAAAGAGGCCGTCCAGAGCCGGACTCCATGGAGAAGCCCAAAAGAAAGAGGCGATCTCGCAAAAATGGGGTCTTGTTTCCTGAGCAGAACCCTAACCAGAACTTCAGTGATGGGTCCTCAGAATGGTGTGGAGAAAAAGAAAGTCTTTGGATGTCCCACCAAGGACACCTTTCCAGTCAAGCCAATAGGAATTGCAGCTACCAAGGCAGCGATTCCCGAACCTTCCACTCCTCAACCGTGGAGTCAAGTTCCTCAAGCCGAACTGGTTTTTATGGGGGGAGCAATCCATCATCCCAGTCTGAACTCAGTCAGGAAAGGCAGAGCCTTTTCACGGGCTATTTCCGTTCCCTGTTGGATTCCGATGACTCCTCTGACCTGTTGGATTTTGCCCTCTCCAACTCTCGCTCTGCTTCACGGAAATCCTCCACCACATATACAGCCCCACCCAATGCTATTGCAACCCAGAGAGGCATGGCGTCTTACTCAAGCCGGGGTGGGAAAGCCACACCCTCTTCCACCACCACAACTGCCCCGAGCGAGGTGCCCTTCCACACAGTCAGCCGGCAGTCATTCCCTCCCAACCGAGCAACAGGTTACAACCTGTCCCAGGCTGCTTCGGAGTGCCGTGACCCAGATGCCTTCCAGAAGCTGGCATCTCTCTCGGCTGTCTCCAGGTCTCCCACTACTCACTCCACCACAGCCTCCAACTATGCACAATATGGCAACTATGGCAGTACCGGAGGACAAAGTGTGACTCCTGCCAGCTTGTTTCAGCAAGGGAAGTCCTACCACGCCACCCAAGACTGTCCCAACAACAAGGACTGCAGCTTCACCTACAGCGGTGGCAATAGCCTGCCTTCCTCCCCAAGCAGTGCCCACAGTGTCAGCTACACCCAGCAGACTACAGGGCCCAGCATGTCCCTGAGTAAGCCCTCTTTCTTCAACAGCTCTGATCCCAGCCAGTTCTCCAGCTCCTCTCACACCCCCATGAGGTGTGACAGCCGGGCAAGCACTGTATCGCCAGGGGGTTACATGGTCCCTAAGAGTTCAATCCCCTTCCAGCCCTCACCAGAGAACTGTAGGCAGTTCCCTAGTGCCTCTCAATGGGCTTTCCGGCAAAGCTACGGTCTGGACTGGAACTCTGAGTCCTTCAGTCAACTCTACAACCCGGGCTTTGACTGCCACATCAATGAACCCAACGTCATCCTAGACATCTCCAACTATACACCCCAGAAGGCCAAGCAGCAGACAGTCTCTGAGACCTTCTCCGAATCCTCCTCCGACAGTACCCAGTTCAACCAGCCATCCGGCTACAGGAGGGCCAACAGTGAGGCTTCGTCTAGTGAAGGGCAGTCCAGCCTCTCAAGCTTGGAGAAGCTGATGATGGACTGGAATGAGTCTTCTTCAGCCCCGGGTTATAACTGGAACCAGAGTGTTTTATTCCACAGCAACTCCAAGCCAGGACGGGGCAGGCGAAAGAAAGTGGACATATTTGACACTGCCCATCTCAGTTTCTCCACGGGGGGCTACCCTTCCAAGCGAGGGACCGGTGCTCGGCAGCCACGGGGTTCCCGAGGTGCCTGTGCCTCCAAAAAAGAAAGAGGCACAGGCAAAGCAAAGTTCCCCACCAAATCCCAGCCGGTGAACCCGCTGTTTCAAGACAGCACAGATTTGGGACTAGACTACTACAGCGGGGACAGCAGCATGTCCCCGTTGCCTTCACAATCCCGGAGCTTTGGGCTCAGCGAACGCGATCCTTGTGACTACACCGGGCCCTACTCCATGAATCCTTCCACGCCTTCGGACGGCACCTTTGGGCAAGGGTTCCAGAGTGACTCCCCCAGCCTGGGGCAGACGGACTTGGAGAGCAAGCATTTCCCCACCCTGCCCCACCAGCTGGCTGCCCCTCAGCAGGCGGTGTTCGAAGCCAGCTTGCAGAAAGCTTTCTCGCCCAACTGCTCCCCCACCCTGGCCTTCAAAGAGGACTTGCGGCCCAGTGACCTCCGGAAGCTTCCGGCCTGCGACTCGCTCAAACACGGCCTCGCCGGGGTGGCCGGCTTGCCCCACTCGGCCACCCACATGGCCTGCCGGGACCTCTCCATGTCTCAGCCGCACTATGATTCTCCCAGCTGTAAAAACCCCAGCTATTGGTATTCGCCCACTGCCAGCACCCGCAGCCCTCCCTATGACAACAAAGCCGGCGTGGGCATGCTGGTAGACTTCATGGGGAGGAGCCCCGAGGCTTCCTGCCTCAACCCCCATTTGACCAGCCCCGCCAGCAGCAACCCTTCCAAGAGCGAGAAGGAGCCCATGGACATGGCAAGGGCTCATCACCGAGGAGCCTATATTTGCCCCTTGATGAATGACTTAAATATCTCCCCGGTCCCAAGAGACTCGATGCTGCCGCTGCAGGACAACTATAGGTACCCCAGCTTTGCACCCCAAGGGCACCCAATCATGACCGCACCCCAGAAGAGCGGGTTTTTGGGTCCAATGCTAGAACAGCATCCCGAGGACACATTCACAGTCACCTCCTTGTAGTGTCATCTGAAGTGCCAACCAGACACGAGGTTTTGTTTCAGGGTAGGTGCCTGAGGAAGAGCTGGGAGGGAGGGCAGCGGGGGTGCCGGGACGGAGTGGGCTTGGGAGCTCATCATCATCATGATCATCATGCCAATGGAGCTAGCAAAGAGGCTCACGGCACAGTGGGGATGAAAACAAATAAACAGGGTCCTCTGTGGGGTGTTTTTTTAAAAAGGGGGTCTTTTGTAATGGTAGACACAAAGTCAGATACCAACTGGCAAAAGGCTCCCGGACAGGAGTTTGAACTTAGGGCAGTGTTTCTCAACTTTAGCCTCTTTAAGATATGTGGATTTCAACTCCAGAATTCTCTGACAATTCAGCCAACATTTAGAGCAGTGTTTCTCAACCTTGGCGACTTTAAGTCCTGTGGACTTCAACTCCCAGAATTCCCCAGCCAGCTGAGCCGAGGTGGCGCAGTGGTTATAGTGCAGTACTGCAGGCTACTTCAGCTGGCTGCTAGTTCGGCAGTTC